ATCATGATAATATTATAAAATACTGACATCAATAGCTCAGTACACGTATAGACATTATCATGATCATTTATTATTATACCAGCTAAAAAGTACATTTATACTATTCTATACCTGAGATGTATGATGAAATAATATATATGAAGGTAGAATAAACTACTTTTAGTTATATTTTAATATTGTGTTCCCAGGTTTTCCCATATTGTTAGTGCGATCACATGCAGTCTAATCACAGTGACTGCTTCACTGTGATCACCATKGCTATCATCTGTGATCACACCGTGATCACACATGCGTGATCACAAACATTTGATCACGCATGTGTGATCATGTGATCACGGGTTATTTAGTGTGATCACAGTGTGATCACGCGTCAAAAGTTTTTACACGTGATCACGGTGTCATCACACTGTGATCACACATATTTTCATACTGGGGTAGTATTTTGTTTTTATTTTGTTGATTAATATAAAAGATGACTGGGAAGCTTAAGGTAATAGGAATAGATAAAAAACTCTCTTTGTCCACTTTTTTTCCAGTCAATCCCCCCCCCCCCTAAAATAATCCCTCTCAGTTTTAGCCACTCGAAAATTCCATATGGTTGAGTAAAGACCCCTACAACCAGTATTCTACCATTCACTGGCTGCACCACAACCCATTGCTATCTGACTTCATTATATTCTTACACTTTGGTCTTAAACCTCTCTGTATGTTCCATTCAATGCCACAACCCATGGTTTTCTTAAGGCCTATTTACAAGGCACGATTTGCCTCAAAATTGTATCATGTAAATGGTCCTACGACAGACGTACGCAGCCTCAAGACTTGTCGTAGCATTTTAAACTTTGGCTTAAAACCCTACGACATGCCGTAGGAAAATGATGTAAATATGACGATTTTGGGACTGGAATTAGTTGATTCCAAAACAAAATGGCGGATTTCCATAAAAACGTCTTTACCAGTAATTAAGCACGAAGTGCAAAAAATTCTGAATGATCTCATCAAATAACAAGGTAGACATGATTATTTGCTGCACTTCTCAACTGCGTATGGTGGCATTTTACAAGAAACATTTGCTGTAATGATGAGTAAATTGCTCGCGCTTTTTTCGTGCCGCGTGCGACAAGTTGTGCTCGTGTAAATGGTACCAAAATTTGCCGTATACGTCAAGGTATACGTAAATAGGCCTTTACTGTCTCAGTATTCACATAACCAATCAAACAGTGCTTACAGTATATTCATGACCACAGGCTAATGTACTTTGAATGAAAATAATTGTTCAATAAAAAAGCAAACTATTAAGTTCAATGTCAAAAAATAAGAACTCTCCGGTTCAAGTTGTCTTAACATGTACATAATTAAGCATGGCAGGTTTCATCCAAGCTAGTGCTATTTTCATGTGTAATGCTTCCATACACAACACTAAACTGTGAGTATTATGTAAACAATCAAATGATATTCAGAGAAAGCATGCATGTTCAGATCCAAAATGTTTCAGTTTTGATGAGCAGCACTCACTCATGAAAACACCACTACAGATAGTATNAGCTTAGTTCATTCAAACTGACCTGGGTGTTTGCTTCTCTATCTGTCTTGTCACGGCAACTACTTTTCCTTCAGAGATGCTTTTGCTATTCTGAATCGCCGTCGTCTCGGAGGGTCGATTACCGCCTTCGAAAAGCATCTTTAGCGAAAATATCACTAAAAGTAAACTTAGTAACGCTAATGTTTTACCAATAGTTTTGGTTCGTATTCTCATCGCGTAATAAACTTGGATCGAATCACCACTTAGAGGACAGGGAATCCGGCTATATTTATTTTCTTCTTTTAGAAAAGTAATTTGCTCTTTGTGGGTTTCCTGTGTTGTGATCGGTTTCCTATTATATAAGCTGTAATCAGATCTGCGCTGCGATCAGATCGGCCCTGTAAACTGATAGCCAATTAAATTCAAATCAATAACAGTTGGTAACGCACTCTCTAGTAAACACTCAGATACATCCTGTTTCATAAGCTAAGCGGTCCGAGCAACTGGAGGTGAACATATAACTAAAACTTAGCTTTTAAATATCACTTTCTAGGATCGTTACTTTTACGAGTTCAACAAAATAAAACATCCCGACCCAAAGTTTGTTCATTGAGCAAACATTTCGTTGGATTTTTATTAATAAATTACCTTCATGAATAATTTGAACAGGGGTTTTAAAATCGGACACTTGCTTGGTTGCATCCCTTCTCCTCTTTTGACTGCTTACTAGAAAGTGCGTTACACACCACAGGCAACCCATAGTAAGAAACAAAACACCAACGGCGATCACAGCGCGCAGATCTGCTTATGTAATAGGAAATCGATCCCAACACAGGAAACCCACAAAGAGCAAAGTTACTTTTCTAAAAGAAGCAAAAAAATATAGCCGGGTTCCCTGTGCTTGGGGTGCTTTTAGTCTCACTGTTGAATAGGTGACGTCAACTAAATTAGATAAGTTATTTTCTATTTTAGCTGACGTCACCTAAATTTGAAACTACGAGTAAGCAGCTACTGAGATCAGGGGGAGAAACGATGATACAAAGGAATGTCTATTCACTCATTCTCTGGTAAAACAACCCCCCGGATTAGCATGACCGTTATTTGGCGCGCTTTTACTATTTTAGGTGACGTCAACTAAACAGTTATCTAAGTTAGATAAATTTATCTAACTATTCAACAGTGAGACTAAAAGCACTCTAAATGTTAAAATGGGCGATGAAATAGCGCCACAGGAAGCCCGGCTGTACATTTAACAAATAAATCAATAAAGTCTAATCGTACTTATAAAGCAAGCAATAACTTCAGAGCAGCTTAAAATTCAAATCTAAAAACCGAGGAAGGAATTCGCTGGTAAATAATCCCGGTGAATTATTTTGACGGCGGTTTTAAAATAGTCGACTCTCTTTGAACAACCAACCTCGTAAGCGACCATCTCCCATAAGCAACCACTTTTTGAATTTCTCGTTTTGTTCCCCATATAAACTCTTTAAAAAAACTCTCTCGTAAGCGACAGCGACCACCTTTGGGGTTAAAATTTTGGAATTTTTCATTGTTTTTCCTCTCCCGTAAGCGGCTACCCAAGAGCCAGTCAAATGACAGATCCTTTAACAATAAAAAATTTAAGAACATAGAGTCATCGGGTATTAAAACCCCAACGAAATATTGACAATTATAGTATTGTAAAAATATAGCACAGTTTACTAAAACAGTTTAATCGTTATAACAGTAATTTTAACACGTGAGTTACAAATTATAAATGGTTTAGGTTTCCTGTGTTGGGATTCCCATTGTTTGGGCTTCCTGTGTTAACTCTCGTAAGCGACCATCTCCCGTAGGCGACCACTTTCTCCTGGCCCCCGGTAGTCGCTTACGGAAGAGTCGACTGTACTCAAATTTCCCTTCTCTTCTCTTCTTACTGTTTACTAGGGCGTTACACTAATATGTTTACGTTATAATCTGGTATAAGTTACTGGTAGTACGATTACCGCAAATTCAACGTATTATTAGCGTCATGTACAGCATACAGTATTCAACCTTTTTTGCTATAGCTGTATTCTTGAGAACGGTTCTTTTTTGGTAATAAATATTTGACCTGTTCGGGCAGACTTATAATAATCATATAGACTGCACGAATAACTTAGGCAACGCTTTACTCAAGTCTTTGTATGTACTTTTCAAAATCCAGTAGCTATAGAAACAACTCAATGGTGTTTCATGCGAACTGTTTTCTTCGTAAATTTGAATGTAAAAAGAAATAAAAGATTATAACAAGATGCCCGACTGCAACTGTCGCATGATGGTCATAATCGACTTTATCAGTTTTAAAAATCATTGTTAGTATTACTCTATATATTGACAATATCATGTTATTTATTAATAGCGACATATTAGCATCATATTGTCAACTTAAATTCACATTTGAAGAAAGCAAATGAAGGTTTATTCAACTCTGCTGACACTACCTGTCACTACATGTTGCAGACATGAATAATGGCAGTACACATTACAGGCACATTCGTCATATTTTTTTGTTTCGGCCCTCAGGCCAAAATGCTAGTAAGATCAGTTTGGGTAACCCATAATATTCTGTGAAGCTGTCAATCAGCTGTCATTATTTTCTATCGTATCCAATCACATTCGGCATTCTTATCACTTCATAAATAACGAATGCGGATATGTTTACAATACTTAACAGTAATCTTTTCACCTATCGTCATCAACAAGTGTTTTTATGACGTCCTGTATACCTTTTATTTATATACATGATCTGTGATTCGGTAAGTTCATATGCTCGATATCTCAATTATTGTTTTATTTAAATAACAATTTATTGTTTGACATTCTTGTCGAAGCTTATGTATTTAAATAGACTCGTGTGTGTGCGTGTTTGCACTCCAACGAACAATGCGAGATATATATTTCATTTGCGACCAACAATGTAGAGTAAAGGATTTGGACATTGTCTTACTCAAGTACCTGCTATTTCTTCAAGTGAATAAAGAAAAAAATACAGATGCAGATAAAACTTGTGGTTTCACGAACGAGAGGTCCTTGAAACTTCTACTAGTAAATAACTAGTAAAACTCAGGAACTCGATCACGTATAGTTCGAATGCTTGAATGACAAAAAACTTCGTCAACAATTCACTAATAATCACTCTATTTTTACTTCGAGGTTCTTTTTTATGGAGATTTTTTATATTTATACAATAAGCAATCTATATCATATTTTTAGGTGCCAACCATTTATGAGTTCATTTTTTCCCATGAAGGAAGCTGAAAACAGAACTCCTAAACATTACTCACTGTCTGGCTGTCGTGATTAGATTGCGCTAAAAGTAAAACAAAGCCACTTGACACAAAAAAAGAATACCGCACACCCCTGAAACTAGGCTTAGCGGGCCGAAACATCATTGCTCTAAGAGCAATATAGCCTTGTTAATTTAAAAAGTCTTTCGGGGTGCCATTATGAATTTCAAATGAAATGAAAATTTTGTACATGAAAAATGTTGAGAAAAATTTGTTGTCGTGAAGTAAGTAAAGCTTTTACATTTATTCACGCTTCCCTAGCAATAAGGCACTCAATAAGGACTCAAAGACTACCTTACGGAAGAGGGAGTAATATGGTTGTAAAATAAAGGCTTTTTATCACAGCAAACGTTACTCATTTGTACTTTAGGAGAAAGCGAAGGTTGACTGGGGGGGGGCTATATTACACTATGGAGGCTTTGCACCATCACGTGCCCACACCAATAATACTGCTTGAGCTTCCTGTGGTTAGGTGGCTGAACAATAACATCCCTTTGCTCTCGGGAATTGAATTCTTTCTCATGTAAAATGACTATATTGTTCCTGCCATCTAACATAGACCTTTTCTGAGATGGTAAATACGGTGCATTGTGGCCTAGCTTGGGTACACACATCTTTTGTTTATCATTCCCTCATATGGTGTTGTTTGTACAGAAGGTAGATTACAATGCATCCTGTTTATTGAACTCAGAAAAGGGATATGGCTGCCGTCACGTGGTGGTGCAAACCATTTATTGGTCTGTTTCATGTGTATATTTTGAAGCTATGCCAATCCTTCCTTCCTTTGCTTGTCTAACAGGTGTTTCCCCAAGGTTTTGTTCCAGGCCCTTCCATGATCTTGAGGCAAGAAACTCGGCTGAAAATGAAGAAGTTTAGTAATTCAACATGGATTATAAATAAAACAGAAACGAAAATCTGAAATGAAGGAAGGAGAAATGGAAGAAGAAAGGGAAAGGAAGGAAAAAGGGAAGGAAGGGAGGTCAGTCGGCAGGAATGGAGGAAGGAAAGAAGAAGGAAAGGAATGATAAGATGAAGGAAGGAAGGGAGGGAGCAAGGAAGGAAGGAATGAAGAAGGAAAGGAAGGCAGCGACCTCAACAGGAATAGAGCAAGGTCTACAGGAAGCAAGCAAGCAAGGAATTTGAATGGATGAATTCATTATAATATTGTTCATCCAAATTATAAGGTTACCTCCAGATGTGTGTCTCTGGGTGGATATAGTTGTATTTTGATTTCTCTCAACAACAGAAGTATCACTACTCTGTGAGGATTCAGCATTGGCTTTGTAGTTTGGCCTCATTTGACCAGAGATAAGGGACATGTCAGGGCAATCATCTTCATCAACTATGTTATCCTGAAAGAGAAAGATAATAGGTCTGTTTGTACCTTAGAACATTTTTTGCCTGCCTGCCTGCAGTCAAAGAAGTTAACTAACCTTATCATTGAGGTCAACAGAATAAGAAGCACCTAAAATTTAAAAGGTGACATTGTTATTTGAGTATAAAACTTAACTGGTATGAGACTCCTTGTACTGTGGAGAGCAACAGTGTGGAAACACCCAGACTCACAACACACATGCTATTAAATTACCTGGTAGAAGTTGTCTGAAGTCTGTTACATAATCTCCTGTCCATTGCTGTGTTCTGGAAAATGGTTGACAGAGGGTACAGACATCAATTATTGATACTCAAATGAAGAAAGTTTTTTTAAAGCTTTTTCTTGGTCAGTTTTATGCTGTATTTTACCCATTCAAACTACTAAATGTTATATGAAAAAAAAATAGATCTCTTTGTGCAACGTTTTCTCATTTCAGACCATGTGTCATTCCCTAGAGTATCATTTCTTCGTTTAACAACTGCATATGAGAAGAGACATGAATATGGATATAACTCAAAAGAAGAATATTATTCTTCAAGGAAATATGGCACATTGTCTGAAATTGGAAAATATTATGCACAATGTAAAGAGGTCTACTAGCAATTCATACCTTAAACAAGCAATTTCCATTTCATAGGGTGTGACAATAGGCTTAAAAAACTCCTGATAATAGAAAAGTAATGATTCATACTGAAGTTACTGAAAAAAATTTCCTAGGATTTATTTATTGGGAGGCATGGGTGGTGTAGCAGTGAGAAAGCTCGCCTCTCACCAAGGTGATCCGGGTTTGAGTACCACCAGTCTCAGTGTTGTATGTGAGTAAAGTTGCTCATTGGTTCTCTCCTGTGCTTTGAGGATTTTTCCTCAGGGTTCTCTGGTTTTCCTCCCTCCACAAAAATCAACTTCTACTTTCTAATTTAATCTTTAGGTAGCCTCATCATCTCCAATTATTAGTTAGTAATACAAGGTGCAAGGAAGGAATACTCATAACGGCAGACAAGTGCATTAGTTCACCCAGTCATTAGTTCACAAAATGCATTTATAGAAGAAACATAGAAATTGACTCTTTGTTTTGACCTAAATTCGTGCTATCCACCTTTATTTTAAATGAGCAGCCTTGCTCAGCCTTGCAAGATGACTGGGTGGCCTAATTTTCGTGCACTCTTCAGCCATTCGTCAAATATTATATAGAGATATTAATAATATCATCATCATCATCATCATTATTATTATGGGAATGGTGCATGCCTCATGTAACATCATGATGGTTTCTAAATACCTGTGAATCTATCAAGGTGTTTTCTGGGCAGGCAACAAGCACAAAGATATCTATCTCCATAAAGTTAGCCATCTTTGGAACATTGAGTTTCCCCATCACAAAAGTATAATACTAAAAACCAGAAATCAAGAAAAATATATGTTAACAAAATACTATTTTGAACTATATATACCTATTTCAATAAACGTTGTCATCATGAAAGGCGATAGGCGATAGGTCATTCTGACATGGAAATGGTTTCGTTGAATACAAAGAACATTGAATCAGTCTCAACACAATGGTCCTTGTTCTTGACGAGAATAAGAAGCAGAAACACAAGTCATTCCAGCTATTCTTGGATCTTGGAAAGACCTATCGACTATCTCTTTTCACCTATTGCCTATCGCCTTTGGCAATAACAACGTTTTTTGAAATAGGTGTATGTTAAGTCCGTAAGGAAAATTTCAAAAGAAAATTAACTAATGATTGCAATTTCACCTTTTTCCCTGCAATGCTTAGCACTTTCTTTAGTCTTTCAATGATTTCTAGGTAATCAGCTGCAGAAAGGACAAAAGAAAACGTTTAGGCTTAGAATAATGGCTGCAAATGTTATGTGCTGATAAATGAGTTATGGTATGTAAACGTTTTTTGATACTTCCAAATTCATCAAACCCTGAAATAACCTCTGGTCTGATCAAAGTCATGGTACAGCTAAAACTCACAGATTATTTTTGAAGAGGGGGACATTGGGGGGTCTCAAACATCTCAACACCACAACAAAAAAACACAAATTCAGAGCATCACTGCAATAAAAGTCAAAGAAACACCGACACCCCAATAGATTAAGAGTCATGTGATTTTAAAGTATAGAATCACTGAAAAATCCAAGAAAAGTATGCAACACCATAATCAATCGCTTGTTTCACCTGATAGCATAGGTTAAATAACATAAACACTGTCAATCGCAAGGTTTGAGATCACCACAACATCATGATTTGTCAGTTACAATCTCCGAAAAACCCCACGAAAAAAAAGGCCAACAGCGCAAACCCCAAAGGGCCCCCTCTTTGATTTTGGGGAAGGATGAGAGCCAAAGAAACTGGAGAAAATGAACCTTAGAGATCAAACCTGAGACCCTTGATTTGACCCTTGACCCGTATTCATTTATTTTTTAACTTACCCACACCAAGAGTGCCAACCACGATCCCTACTACTTGAGCATCCTTGGCCTTCTGTATCATATAATATCTAAAAACAAAATAATCCAGCTTATACAAAAACAATATTAAGCAAAGGGAATTAATGCCAGAATGATGGTGTTTGAGAAGTGTCCCTAGACAGATTATCTGGGAATGAGTTGATCTTTAGTACAACAGTCAGTATTGGGAAAATCATCCTGGAATTTCCAATTTCATTAACGTTATCCTTTGTCCTAATCTGGAAATCTCTGAGATTTCCAGTCACTTGCCTCTGGTCACTCACCTTCTGCACCATCAACCAGGAAGCCCAGAGGGAGGAGGGGAGGTTAGGTGTACAACAACAAACATGGATATAATGGCCCATTTTGATATTTTACAACAGCAGTCCCTGTATTTTCCTTTTGTCCTTTACTGTCTACACCCCTCCCCAGGGATATTAGGCTAGGTATTAAATCCCAATCTGGAGGCATAATACTAAAATACTAGCAAATCACTCATGATTTTAAGCCACAGGGCTGCTACTAGTGCCTTACCACCGTTTGCATTACTATGCGGCCACCCCAGACACAAATCGTGTCGTGTAGTTTGAATAGACTCCCGTCAATCAAAAACCTCATTTTACTTGGATGTACTCAAACTCATTGCAATCACTTTTGGAACTTTCCTTTGTGATATCTGACTGAGAAAGTTTGATAGAAAAGTCAACTCACTGATCCAAACATGTATAAATGGCGTCAGCATGAATGATTGACAGTTTGATAGAAAAGCCAACTCACTGATCCAAACGTGTATAAATGGCGTCAACATGAATGATTGACAGTAGTTGCAAACTACCAAACTTGATTTGTGTCTGGGGTGGCTGCGTAGTAATGCAAACGATGGTAATATGCAGCCCATAAAGTCCTCCACTGATCTTGTAAAGTGCCATTAAGCATTATTATTTATTATCCTTACTTGGCCAAATTAGTAAAAGCAAATATCAAACAGTGACCAAGGAAAATACAAGGATGGCTTGTTTCTTTCTAATGTTTTGTACCTTTTCATAAGGGCTTTGTTGACATTAATATTCTCTTGTCTGGCTGTGTCCATGACTGGGTCATAGGAATAAAACTTAATACAAAAAAAAACACATGCAAATAAATTAATTGATATCATTAATATTGTTAGGGCCTATCAAAATGAGAAACACAGCTTTGGGGTCCCTGTGGAATTACTACAGGAACCACAGGAAGCCCAATCCCATCTTTGATACTGACCTGACATTTGTTATAGGACATCATTAGATTAGTTAGATTCAGTGATTGTTGTCCAATATAAAACACTTTATATTCATCAATATTGTGGTCTTCTGGTAAACAGAATTCACAACCAAACCTAGAATGAAATAAGGGCAGAGCATTAAAATAACGTCGACATTACAGTTATGAGCAGTTTAAATAAATAAATAAATCCCTTTTATTTAAGTGTTTAGTCGTTCTAGTGCTTTTGCACTAATTGGGGACACTTTTCTTTCAAACCCACTACCACTTCATTTAATATTCTATGCACACAATGCTCAACTCACATGTTGATTTTTACAGAGTAAAAATAAGTTTGGTACATTTCTCACTTTACCATACCACAAACCCGTATCCAGAATTGGAGCAATGATCTGATTGGTTATGTAAGTAATTTGAATCCTGTAGTGCTCCTGGTTGGATACAGGGCTAAAACAATGTAGTGTTACAGAAGCCGAAAGCATTACCGTATAGTTTCAGAAATTATCCATACCCCCCAAAGAAAAATTTCGAATTTCCAAAGGGTGGGGGGTCAGAAAAATTACAGAGTTTGTATGGAAGAAAATTACCAGGAGTAGGGGGAGGAGGGTCTGTAAAAAAATTCCTCCATGGTGGGGGGTTGGGGGGGAGGGAGGTGGATAATATCTGGAACTACACATTGTGAATACAGCCCAAGAAGCGTTGGTACTGAGGCTGTAATGATGTTTTTGAGTCTGATCCAGGCCTAAAATGCAGCTAAAACAGTGGCATAGAATGATTGGACAAATTAGTGTAAATTTAAGGTCTTATGCGTCTCCTGATATGGTCAGCCATGATGATGATGATGATGACGACGACGACGACGACGACGACGACGATGATGATATTGATGATGATGATGATGATTCTCCTTACCTTCGGATCCAATGTTTTCCATTCTTCCCATTTTCTTTTTCCTCAATATTTTCTTCATGTTCCTTTTCTTCATGTTTATTTTTTTTAGAATTTATAGAATGATTTATTACTTTATTTGTTAATGTTGGTTCTAGTCTGGAAACCACCATATTTTYATAATCTTTTCGTAGTTTATTTTCGAGTGTTTCTGTGAAGGAAAAATCAGAATATAAAAAAAAAATTACTTCTGCTCTGGCAAACTTTGGAAAACCTCATAAACACTGCTTGAGNAAAGTCCGAATAATTGAAGTATTAATCTTGAGGATAATTTGACTCAATTATGATTATGTAAACCAGATTAGTGAAAAGTTTCGCCTGGGAGCCACTTGGAATTAAAAAATTTTGGGTTAAAAGAGAAAAGAACAATAGGGTTGAGTAAATGACGTCATTTGCTCAAAATTTCTATGCTAAATAAAATTGATAATTTTTACTGTGAAGAAAATGTGTAGCTTGGCTACGATTGGGGACATATTGATACGTTTAATTAAGTTTAAAATCATTTCCAATTTCCAATTTTATCCATTTTCATCCAAGTGCCCCTTTAATCCATCATTGAATACCAATGTCTGTGGCCCAACCGATGTTTTCTTTCCTTCTTAATTCTAAAATAACAAGGGAAGGCTGTTCTGTTGCTATGACAACTGCTGTGATCTGATTGGCTAGTTTGAATTTCTTTTGTCTTTTCAACCAATCACCGAAAGGTTTTTCACATTTTTGCACTGGTGTTTCAGGAAAACAGCACTGCTCTCAACCAACCAGAAGTGAGAAATTTTTGCATCATTATTATTAACTACGGAAACAGATGCTGTATAAAAGTTAAAATATCAATTTGATAAAAAGCTTCATCGCTGATTGTTTTGTTTCATATTCGAAGCTATGAGGACGACGAATAAATATGAGAAAAAGAAGAAAGTGAAGGAAATGTGAATTGAAAAGACGAAAAATGAAAGTATAATATAAGTATGAATACCTAAGCTGAATCTTTTAGCATGTGTTATTTCGTGTCATTAATACATATTTGTTGGACTGACCATGGTTCATTTATAACTGACAAAAGGTGGTTATGGCTGATATTTTGGTAAGTTTCAATTGTGTGCATGGCGTAAATTTATTGAAGAGAAACAATAAAGTTATATTTTCTTTATTTTAGATCCACTGCTGACTTTTTAAAGCTATTGTTTTGGATAAAACAAAAAAGACCAGTGTAAAACAACATATAAAAGGAGCATGTCTTTCTACACTGAAGACTGAGGCATTTAAAGAAAAGCCATGCATTAATAAGATTTCAATAATTTCAGTAATGATTTAAGTACTCAAATAAGAATAGTTGAAAATTTATATTGTTTTGAAATAACTATTTTGAGGCGTTGGCTCAGAAAGAGAACTAAAGCCTGACTTATTTGCACGCTGATAAATTGCAACTGGCTCTACAGCCGTTTGCCTTATTACCTTGATTTATGCATTGTATTTATTGAACATCTTCAGGCAGGGAATCTTATCAATCACAGCCTCCGTGGTGCAATGGATTAGCGCGTTGGACTTCTAATTCAAAGGTTGTGGGTTCGAGTCCCACCGGAGGTGTTTTATTTTTACCCTTTCTGCCGAAGCTAAAGGGATAGTAATCCTTTTACATAGCGATACATGGCCTATTGTTCATATTCTACTAAATCTAAAAAAAGTATTTTTACCTTGCAGTTCACTTGAGTCAAACAAGGCTTTTAAAATTAAATTTAGCGTTAAAAGATTCACAACCCAAGATTATATTATTAGTCTACTTAACTTTTAGAATTACAAAAGTATTCTCTAAGATACACGTTKTCTAAACGTTGTCATCGCCAAAGGCGAGTAGGCGATAGGTCATTCCGACATGGAATGGATTGGTTGAATGCAAAGAACATGCATTGAATCAGTCATTCCAGCTATTCTTGCCGTGGATCTTGGAATGACCTATCTCCTATTGCTTTTCGCCTATTACCTATCGCCTTTGGTGATGACAACCTTTTTTGAAATAAATATATATTGACTTTGTTTCAGGCTAAGGTGACTAATTTTTTTTGTTTTGCGTCAAAAGTTAAACACTCAGATGTTTCTGAATTTAGCACAAATAGTGGCTCAAACATTTAGGCTATTAACGGTGTATTAGAAATATCATTTTGGAGTTATGTTTGCCGCCGTACGGACCGATTTTCTAACAGTGGGTTTTCACAATATTGTCGTCCTGCTCGCTTAAAACAACAACAACAACAACATAAGCACATTATTATTTTCTTGAATGATAAATTGTACAAAATAATTGGTCTGCTACCCGCAACTAGTTTTAAGAACTAATCGACTTCAGATCTGATTTTACAGGGGCTTCTTAGGAGACGGGTGCAAGGGGTGCGAAACCCCACCCCCTCCCCGCAGATGGGACGACATGTATTTCGTTTTTGGTGCTTGAATTTATGTTTGCCAATAGACAAAAACGGCGCTCCCCTCCCCTCCTAGAATTGATTACCAAGTGTGTGTAAGTCTGTAAATATGTGTAAATGTGTGTAACTCTGTGCGTATGTATGTATAAAGGTCTATAAGAGTGTGTAAGTGTGTGTAAATGTGTGCAAAAATGTGTGTACGTGTGTGTAAGTTTGTGTAACTGTGTGTAACTGTGTGTAAGTCAGTGTAAATGAGTAAAAGTGTAAGTGTATGTGCGTATAAGT